GGGGCTGCATACTTCGAAGTGACGAGTCTCATGGGAATAAAAGCATGACTAGGAGGTCAGAGGAAAACCCAGTGGCAGATAGTTATGAAGAGCGCATGAACATTTACAGCAACTACCACCAGTTTTATTGCATGGTTTGAAGCACTGCTATAACATTTGGCAGCAGATTGGATATTTATCTGTGAATTGTATATTGCAAGACGTATTTATGTATATTTGCATTTTTATACATGTGCATGGATGTGCATGTGTTAGTAATATACATTTGCAGAAAAGTAAGAAGAAATTACACTGTGGAAGTTTTTATTAAATAATTTAGTCTGTTTTCTTTACCACAAAGAAAGCTGCCCCCTTTGTCTGTTTGTTTGTGCCTCCTATTCGCCTCCTCATGGTAAGTATTTTATCATCATAGATTTTTTTATGATAGTTTTATGATTTGTTTAAAAAGAAAAATGTGCCAATTAAACCATCCTTAAAAACTACTTCTCATTTTTTCTTGCAGTGACGTGAATGTGGCAGAGCAACAGTTGTTCCATCAGGGAACAGTAGGTACAAATGATTCATACACCGTAGATTACATCGCCATTATGGACCCAGCCAGCGCTATCTTTGTACATATGTAAACTGTCCATGTACATTTAAGACCTGGTGTGGACACCAGGTTACTGGGGTTTGTTTTAGAGTCAGGCTGTAGCACACTGGTGGCCATTTAAAATCAGAAATAAAGTACTTGTTATTAGGTTTTAACGGGGTTAAATACTGGCGGTGTTTATTCCAAACTCAACTCCAAAATAAATGAGACTCGGAGGAAAAACTATGAAGGCTAAAAGGAGGTACATCTGTCCTTGACAGAAAACCGTGTTATTTAGTGGTGATTTTGTTTTATTCAGCATGCTTTTAGCTCAAAACTACTGCGAGATGTTGAACTCATCATACTCTCAGTGAGCGGCGCTCTGCTCCATCGCTGCAGCGTGTGAGTAATTGGTCAGATGACAACACCTGACAGACACGCTAGAACAAAGATAGTTTGTAAACAAGAGGATGCTCCCCTCCTGTCTCTGATTCTCATAAAGAGTGACTGAAACACGACAGAAAGATATCGCACGAGTGCTACATCTATTAATAGTTTATCGCACAGAGTTTTTTTCATCCCACGTTGTACAGCCCTGAGCCTATAGTGGCGCAAAGCTGCAGCTGCAGTTAAAATAACATCTATATAGCTGGGGGCAGAGTGAGATGATGCTGGGGCGGCACAAAAATAGCTGGAGGCAGGCGCCACGCAAATCTGAACGCAGGAAAAACCCTAAACATGTAAAAAGGATATTCCACTCATGATTTAAATTTTGTCTACTTCTGTATTCCTCAGAGTTGGATTAGTGAGAAAAAAGCATTTTGTAATCAGCGCAGTAATTCTCCTGGTGTGGCAGCCGTCTGTGATTTGGCATAGCATAAACAATGGAAGTGAATGGCAGAAGTAGCATTTTGTGTGCAAAAGTGATTAAAATGACTCAATAATGATACCAATTATTCTTGGTGAGCTCAATAATCACGTTGACTGCAAATGAAAAGTAAGAAGTAACACAAAGGATTTCCAGGAGCCGATTCAGACTTGGAACTACATTACGACAACGAACCGCTGTAAGCCGCCGCTGCATGGTGCATGGACATAACTCAGCAGTCGAAAAAGCCTCCGGACCGGCTTCCGTCAACAAACACATGCCACACTTCACATTTATAGACCTGTATAATTGCCCAGCAACACTCAAGAAATTAGATTTTAAAAAGACCACTTACAGAGAGGAATGATGCACTTTTGATCCTTCACAAAGTATGTATGAGACTGCTGTTTTCAGCCACCGGTCTCTTGTTGGACTGCTGTGTTATATCCATTCGCCATGCAGCAGTGCTTTGTCATAATGTAGTCCCAAGTCTAAATCGGCTCCTGGAAATCCTTCGAGTAACGGCTTTTCATTTGCAGTCAACATCATTATTGAGCTCAGCAGGAATAATTGGTGTCATTATTGAGATCACTTTTGCACAGAAAATGCTACTTTCCGCTTTTCACTTCCATTGTTTATGCTAAGCTAAAGCAGACGGACGGCTGCCTAACCAGGAGAATTGCTGCGCTGGTTACACAATGCTTTTTTCTCTTTTATCTAACTGGGAAATATGGAAATAGACACAATTTCACTCAGGGATGAATTTGTATGAGATTTTTATAGTTAAAGGAATATTCCATCCCTGAGCGAAAAATGATTTGTCAACTGTAATTTAATTCGATTTGAAGCCCTTTATTGTTTTAGTTTTACTTCCTAAAAGTTATTTTGTGTTTAACTCCCTGTACTTATTTTCTATGGATTATGATTTTTTCCCCCACATTTTTCTTTTGGTGTATTGCCCCTGAATTATTTCTATACTTTTGGTACTTTTTATTTATTTATTTATTTTCAAATTCACACAATACTAATTGTATTTTGTCATTTTTCATCTTGCCGAAGGGGAAATGCAGTTTTGGTTCCACTGTCTGATTCGCATGATTACAATGGAATTTCCTGTTTAAATAAGTTTTCTAGTGTTCACCTTTGAAATTGCATTATGCTTGCAGAAGATGTACAAAAATGGTACGCTTTTATGTTGTCTACTAAATCCAGTTAATGTCATCATAATCTAATTGTGATTTTTTTATTGTAAAATTATGGGTTCTAATTATATGTAACAAATGAAAACAAATCTAATTGAAATACATAGATTGATATGATTAAAATCATCAACCCCCATATTGGTTCATTAAGCAAGACTAACAGTAATTGCCTTGATTAACGAGATAGATGTTCAAACCACAAGATTTAATTGTGTTTTCTCAAGTTTTTAACTGTTGTTGAATGAATAAAAAAATATTCTACATACTTAAATAAATAATTTTGAGTCAATGAAAGGAAACTACATTGATCCAATGTAATCTGATTACATTAAACCACCAAATTCCAATTGTGTTCGTTTGACATGATGAAAATGGGTTATCGTACTTGGTTCATTTACGTGGACATAGGTGCCATGATTAGATTGTGCTCATCCAACAAGTGATTTCTTTGAGTGTAGGTTTGTGTTTACTTTGATGTAGTGGCAGTCCATCTCTATGGCATTTTTATGCACTTTGCCCTTCTTTCTGTGAAAGGTGCATGAATACATATTTTTGGAGCGGAGAGCGCAACTTCAATCAGGATTAAAACAAGTTCCGTCCAAGCTAAAAGGAGGGCTGTGACGGTGCGTAGACAACTTGGAGCCCAGCGCCACACTCCCTTTTTACCGCATCACAAACTCGTGATAGCGCTACATTACCGCCACAGGCTGACCACTACTGAATGACCAATGGCTTCTTGCCACCTCAGCTTTGCAGAAATGGCACCACTGTTTTTATAAAACAGGCTTCTGTCATATCCTATCCATATCCCATCTCTCTTGTGCTGCTTGTCCCTTCAGACGTATCATTTTGGTTGTTCGCTCCAGCTCCTTTTACACTTATCAGTCTTCCCATTCCCCAGCCTCTTCAGTGTTTTGTTTCTCATTGTCTAGGTTTTCAGTTTTCCCTGCCCTTGCTCTCTGGCTCTTAGTAATTGTTAGTTGTTCTGTTTAGATTATTATCATCATTATGGTTTTTCGTGTCTTCAGTGTCTCTCAGAATAGTCTCCTTCCTTTAGTCTTTAGTTCTGGGCTCATCTTTTCCAGTTACAGTGCCTTATTACTTTATCTGTTCAGCTTCAGTCCTCCTCTGTTTCTGGATTACCATCCATCCCTCAGTCAGTTAGTCACACCTGCCCATCGTTGCAATGGGTACCATTCTGTTGGAAGACTGGTGTGTATGGGAGGCTGTGATTAGACTCGGTGCCGGTGCTGAGGCAGCAATATGCCTTGTGGGCATCCAGCCTGCCATCTCCACTGGAGAAGAATACGTAGTTCCTGGTCAGTTCCTGGTGTGTGTATGCTCATGTTTTGTCTCGTGTCCCTGCTCTTGACCACGCCATAAAATAAAGGCTGTTATTCTTTAGACCTGTCAGACTGTTTCCTGGATATCACGTCACCTGACTGCGTTTGGGTCCTACAACTCCACCTCATGGCGTTCTGACTCATTTGATCAGTCTTTAACAATAATCTGCCAAAATGTTGTAAAAATAAAAAACAAATATAAGACTGACTTCATTGGAGCTATTAGTGTGAACCCAGTCAAGATGAAAGAGTGACCATGTTTAAGTTTACAAAAGTTCAGCTCCACATTTCATGAGTTTCACTAGAAGACAGCAAACATCCCATAATTAAAAGGAGACTTGTGTCTGAGTAGGGAGCAGAATGTCATTTGGCTGCTCTGTGCTTTTGAGCTGTTTAAGTAGCGTGGCCCAGCAAGAGGAGCAGTCTCCAGACCTGTGAGTGGAACAGTCGCCCACTTACTGGCACCCCCCATCCCTGTGATCTGTTCTGAAACAAATCACACACACACACACACACACACGCACGCACACACACACACACACACACACACACACACACACACACACCACTGGCTGGCTGTGTTTACACTGCAACTGTAGATAACAGGGCAGGAAAGGGAATGCCCTCACAAGGTGCCTCTTCTCTAAAGCTAATAAAACATTTGATGCTATTCCTACAAACTCCTAACTTGTGCACAAGTTTCATTAGATACCAAGCATCTGTGTGAAGATGTATTCGCCTTGAGCACAGAGGACCACGAGGAAAGGTCGAGGCCCTCAAATGCAGAGAATTATCCACGTTGTGTATACCGAGTGGAGCTTGCACAGGTTAATGATTAATGAGACATAAAACTGATATTAGGAGCAGCTGAGCGGCAGACTGAAGTCAAGGTCTCAGGGGTTGGTACAGGAATGATGTTGGAGGCTGTCATACAGACCCCTTCTGCTGGCAGACATCCCTGAAGTCCTTTATTTCTACGCTACATAAGATAAACAAACACAACTGATGCTGTTTACCTTGTACATTGTGGCTCCCTGTGGTCCACGGTTCCTCTGAGTCAAAGTGTGTGTCCCCACCCATTCCAGGTCCAGGGAAGTAGGCGTGAGCTAGGAAGCCCCCCTCCCCATCAAAAGGAGAGCTGTCCCCATGAAAACCAGAGGCAAAGAAGATCATGATGTCGGGCTCCTTACGACGTCCATATTTGATTTCTTGGTAAGGGATTTCATCAAACGTCAGAGGGGTGACACTCCGCCACACGTCAAAGGCCCGCCGGATGGCCATGTAGGACTCATTCTCTCCAATTTTAGGAGTGTAGTTCTGAATACTGTAAGAAGAAAGGAGCAAGGGAGGGGACATATGTCAGAAACTAGGGCTGTCGCGGTTGAGGAATTCCCCCTGCGGTGATTCAGGGTGGCTTAATATTGCGGTGTGCGATATTATTGCAGTCCTTTTTTTATTGCAGTACTATCTAAACATAATGTTTACACATTTAAAAAAAGGTTAAAAATTGCCGTGCCTTCTTTTATAACGCTTTACTGAATGCAGATCAAAGGGCAGTAACAACACAGATCACAGTAACGTTTGTTTCTCCGACAGTCGGAGTCCGACTGAACTTAAAAACAACAAAATTCAGGAGAAGGTTAAACTTTTAAATGCAAATTTGGCTGCAGCATCTAACAAATAAGAAACAAGTCCCCCTTTTGTTTAGTTGTTTAAAATCAAGCATAAAAAATTGCATGTACCGGGCGCGCGCGCCGGGGGGCGGGGCACTATCATTTCACTTTCACTTTCACACACACGAATGACGGTGCTTTATAGCTCGGTCACGTCCTTGTTACCCACAAGGAAAACCAGCATGTTAACCACATACGGTTTGAGAGAGGATCTGAGAGGGGGGGGCAACATTTGCAGCAACACTGAAAACCCTCTCGGATGGTGCGCTCGTTGCACTAACGCACACGTACTTGCGTGCGACTCTGGCGAGCAAAGGGAATCTCTCCCGGTTGTTGCTCCACCATGTCAGGGGGGTTTCTTTAGGGTGGATGCATTCCTCCTGCAGGTAGCGAGTGAGCTCCAGCTCGGCTCAAACTCTCTTCAGGACGGCTGCAGAAGCAGTGCTTGTCCGGGACTTCAGCAGGTCTCAGAGCGTTTATTATTTATTTATTTTTGCCGCTGGTGGCAGCTCTGTCTCGGCCAAGGACCCTGGCTGCGCAGCAGCTGACGTACTGAAAACCAAAGCGCTCCCAAAGGAGCGAAGTAACGTTTCGTTTTGATACCAGTGCAGCCATCCTTCTCAACATGCATCACTGAGTTGAACCAAGTTCAGTAATCGTGGTGGCGCATGTTGCAGCGCGGTGGGCTTCTTCATATTGCGATATTTCATTTTTGCGGTTACCGCGACAGCCCTATCAGAAACCAAAGAACTACATCAGTCTGAAGTAAGATTGGGGCTGTTTTTATATTATTTTTAAGATCAGAGATCTCTATAAGAACATTTACTGTGCCGTGGCTTATTGCATCATCAACAAATAATGGGTTTTTAGAAACTGTGTAATATATGATAACAAACTGAGTGCAACCAGCTAGTGATGCTGTTTGTACACTAAGTGGCTTTGTGGAAGACTCTGGACTTGTTTCTATTCCATTAAGCCAATCTGATGGTTTAACCTAAAGGTAAGGGAGGAGTGAAATGAGCAGGCAACAGCGCTAAGACAGCCAGTCATCTCTAAAAATAGGGTTGTTAGTGAAATAGTAAAATCAGTAGGAGACTACTACTGCACTCCCCGTTTGGTACAGAATGGTATAATCCATCTGATTGGCTGCTTCTTTCAACGAGCCAGAACACAAATCCAGGCTCATTGCTATAGAGAAAACAATAAACAGCAGCCCAAGGAGACGGAACGACACGGAAAAACAACTGAACATCACAACATAAACAACAAAGCAAAGAAACAACCTCAGTATAGACAACAACTCAATGCAGCCCAAAGATCAGGAATTATTTATCGTGCCTTCGGACACAGAAATAATGATGCACATTAAAGCCGATTTGTTTCATGTCTCAGTGACAAGCAGAACAGCAGTCATCAGCCTCAAAGTAAAACACAGAAAGTTGCTGTGCTGCAGGTTAGAGTTCCTGTGTTGTTACCTGTACGTCAGCTGGTTTTTGTTCCATTTATGTCCCGTGAGCGCATAGCGCCTCCGCCGCACGTTGGTTTTGATCTGCCCTCCAAACTTGTCAGGAACGCCGCAGCGGGGTCTCTTCATGGCGCTGAAAGTTGAAAAATGTCAGGAGAGGCAAACCGGTTTATGTTTGAAGATATGGAGCACCCAAGAGGGTGGGGAGGGGTTACGGCTCCTATGTTTCACTGAAGTCTGTGTGTACTTGCAGTTTAACAAGCCATACTCCATACATATTTATGGAGAATGTGTGGATTGTTCTTTAGAGATGATTGTAAAAGAAACATTAACCTTCTTAAAACTTGAGGAAAAAAGTCAAGTTGGGACTCAAAATGTCTCAGCGGGAAGTCCCTAACCGCTGGGTGTTAGTGTGTCGAGCTGCTGACCTGATGGTCTGAGCATCCATCTGGCCAGTGACCTCGAGAGCGTAGAACCGCTGCATGTCACTGATGGCGGTGGACAGGATCTGAGCTGATCGCATCGTGGACATCTGCTGGCTGGCCTGGGGCAGGTAACCATACATCCTCAGCCATAACTACAAACACACATAGTAATGCAAGACAAATCAACAATGTACCTCCATTATAAACATAAACAAACTAGTTTAGCCCAAAAAAGCACACAATTTATCTCTGTTGCTCTGAGGTCTTAATAAAGGAGAATGTGAAAAGAGTCTAAACTGGTGTTATGTGACGGGGCTGTGGAGGGGCCCAGAAGGGGCAGCCTGATTGGGATTACTGATGATCTTGGGGTGGGGCTTCATCACTCCTTAGACCCTCATTTATACTTTTGAAAGTAGGGAACCCATGGACCAGAGGGAGATGGGTGTGATTTAGAAATTCCACAGTGCAACATGTCTATGTGTGGTTCATCTCCAACCAGGTCAGCTGAGATGATCCGTGTCGGCTCACTTCGGCACTATCTTAATCACCTTTTTGATAACGTCTCCTAACTTAAGTCTGCTTCATCCTGGCATCCAGCATGTGAAAGCATAGCAGAGCAAAGACCGATGGGTGTACACGAGCAAGGATCAGTTCTGATGGACATGCAGTCTTGGCTTTCCGCAACTAAAACAAACCACAGCAATCACAGACTTGATGCCTAGAGATCTTAGAGGCTAGTAGAGAAAAGTGTCGGGGCTTGGCACAGTTCAAACCTTGGTTATAACATTAAAGAAGGCTACTAAAAAAGTGAACAATAGATATTTTCAAAAAGGAAATGGGTAGGTTGGCTGGTTACTCCAGAGACAACACTGTATACGGAAGCACCGAAGATCATAAAATTGTTTTTTTCTCTACTTCAGCTTCTGAACCCAGGATCTCTGTCCTGTAGTTAATCTTTGGATCAGGAGGGAGAGCGTACAGGGCGGTGAACTGAGTGAGGCCTGCTGCTTCCACCTCTGCTGTAGGAACATGGTTGGAGGTTGGACTTAGTGACAGACTGGCCAGAGAAAATATGATATCTGACCCAATCACAGATGACGCAAAGTCTATTCCACCTGTCATGAGGAAACCCAATACAGCAGGAGCATGCACTAACAAACGCTCTCCTAGGACAGTCCTGGGACACCAGATACTCCCACACATGGACACACACCCAGTACAGGCAAAAAATATGAACACTAGTGTGCACATCTAGAGTTCACACCCATCTTTCATAAAAGAGAATAGAGCTCACTGTTCTGTATTTACATACCCACTCCTCACAACCCATAAAACCAACTCACCTCATTTAGCCTCTCCTCTCTTAATAAGGACCGCAGCAGAACCGAGGCTCTGGCCACACAACAAACAGGTTCATGAGGGTCAATCCACAAAGATCAAGCAGTGCAGAGCAAAGAAAAGAACCTGATCTCCTGTTTGGCCCCTCTTCATCTCTGCCATGTCTCATCAGACTCGGTGTAATGAAAGGTCAAAGGTCAGGAGGGCTGATATTACTAACATGTTTACCAGATATCAGAATAAATATCTATTACACCAGTAACATAAGAGCTCAACAGTACAGAAAAAGCAACAGTCTGCAGATACGTATCGTGAGCGCTGATCAATCACTGTCAGTAAATAAGTCCAGTCCAGAATGCAATCAACTAGTTTATTAATAAAACAGAAGCTTTATTTTTTTCTCAAATATTAAATACCTTCAGGGGTGGAAATTAACTACACAACCAACTGGCCAGCCGGGCCGGTAAGTCAGAAAAGTTACCGGCCCGCCCGTCATCTGCTAAAATGAGTAAAAATCACAACTGGAAAAAAATTGAATAAAAACAGGATAAAAAAGGATAGGTGAGTTTTTTCAAACAGACATTTTAAGAAAAATTTTAAATAAATAAAATAACGAAAGAAGCAAAAGATGGCAGCTAAAAAAACATTTTGTTTAAAGGTTTAAAAAATGCAAAGACAACTTACTATACAAATCTCATCGCAAATGGCTGCTTCCTACAGGACTCTGTAGTGGTGTGACTAGTGACGGGAAAGTTCGTTTAGTTCAAAGTTCAGTTCATACATTTTAAACCGAACTAGTTCACTTTTTGTTCATAATTTAAAAAATTTAAACTAAGTTCACTGTTTCAAAAACGAACTAGTTCATAGTCCTTTTTTCTCACATATATATATATGTGTGTGTGTGTGTGTGTATGTGTGTATATGTATATATATACATACATATACACACACATATATACATGTGTATATATATATATATATATATATATATATATATATATATATATATACATATGTATATGTGTGTGTGTGTGTGTGTGTGTGTGTATATGTATGTATATATATGTGTGTGTGTGTGTGTGTGTGTGTATGTATGTACTAGTGATGCTCGGGAGTTTTTTCAACCCGCGGGTACCGCAGATTTGATAACGTCTGACCCACACCAAACTGCCCCACATCACTAGGTCTATTTTTACAACCCGCGCCACCCCGACCCGCCTCATTAAAAACACGTTATTGATTGAATGCACTTTCATTTCAGACAAAGGTGCGTTAAACAGTCCCCCAAATTGGCACTGGAAAATGGTAGTAACATTTACATTTTTAAAGGCTAAAATAAAAAATTATTAAATTGGCAGATAAAGAAAGTTTAAAATTTTATTAAAGGGTATTTAAGGGTTATTTTTGTTTGTTACCCTACTAATAGTGCAATAAACCAATACAGAAACAGCACCTAGAGCCCCTGCTTGGGCAAACAAAATAGTAAAACATTTTACAACTTTTATCAAACATTTTGAAAGCCAACAAACTCATTACCTGTTATGTCCTTGTTTTTGTCCAGCCAATGCTGCTGTTGTTGTCTGTGCTGATTACCTCGCTGAATCTTTCCCAAACATGCGACTTAGCAGTTTGTCCCTCCTTTCATTTAAGAATGTAAACTCCGAATGAATGTTATTCAAAATATTGTCCTCCATCGTATTGTTGACGTGGCTGCCTGCCACCTGCTTGGAGCTTAGGCACACTTCACTGGTGCTTTCTGTACGTGCCTACGTCATGGGGTCGAAGGTTATCTGCGCGGAGTTATGTTTTAAAACTTGACCGTGTTTAAATAACTGTCTTAAATATTGTCTTTTAAAAAATTAAGCATTAATTAATGTCTTTATCCTTAGTGTGCATATATGTATAATATAGGGCTGCACAATATATCGAAAAATTATCGTCATCGCGATAACAGGACGTGCGATAGGCCCATCGCAAAACACGGCAAAAACAGCGATAAATGTTTGGTTCAAACATTTCCATCCGTGTCATACATCAGCTTTTTGTAAACCAGCTCTGTTTTTTAAGTGGAAGTATTATTTGACCAATCAAATGTAGTCCTTCTGATATGCGGCCAACCAGATGGTTCCGTTCACGTAATACGCCCGCCCCCTACGTAGACCCTTTTGGAAAGCAACATCCGAACAGAGTTTGCGGCGCCGTTCCCTTGTTCGTCATGCTGGCTCAGAGCAACAAACGCACTTTGTGCTGAGGTTTCTGGATTCAGCGCTGCTTTCAAACGTGAACGTGAGCCGCTCGGTGTCGTTAATCATTTTTACCGGGCTGACTCCGACACTTGCCGGTGAACCAACCCACCTTCATGTCGCTAGTGTTAGCCCCAGGCTCCGGTTAGCTTCCAGCTAAAAGGCTACAGCACTCTCCTCCCAGTCCCACCCTGCTAAAGAGGGCCTGGAAAAGTTCCCCCACACATCAAAGTGATTTTTCATTTATGAGCTTTTATAACCTTGTTAATCAGGATAGCTGATTTGCTGCTGCACATAAACTGTCAGTCAGAAGCTCTGCTAGCCGCTTATCTTAGAGGCGCTAGTTCAATTAGTTAGCTTGTTATCAGAATCATAGTTGCAGTTTCATCATCTGAGCAGCTTTTTAAGATCTAGGTAAACTTGTTCAATTTGGGGTTAAAAACAAACGTTTTCACATATTTTCCATGTAGTTTTTTTGCCAGTTCCTCTTCTGAAAGGTAGACAATTGTTTTTCTCTTTCCCTCAAGAAATCTTAATATTCTCCTAGTTTGGCCCAGCACAGTTCACTTCCCAATTACAGCAACAGCCTTATATCATAACCACATAAGTGGAGAAAATGTTCAGTAGCAATGAGAGAATTAGCTGTTGCATTTAAGTGATGTTAACTATTATTTAACATTTAAACTTATTTTCTGATGTTTTTATTCATTCAAAAAACCCTGGTAAGGGATGTTTTTCTGTATTTGGAGCATCAGAAAAAGTTTTATGGTGGTGGTGATGTTTTAAAGTCACTGAGAAACCGCATGTATGCAGTTTGTTGTTTTGCTGCTAATACAGTAGCAGGTGCAGCTGCTAATACAGTAGCAGGTGCAGCTGCTAATACAGTAGCAGGTGCAGCTGCTAATGCAGTAGCAGGTGCAGCTGCTAATGCAGTAGCAGGTGCAGCTGCTAACACAGTAGCGGGTGTAGTTGCTAATACAGTAGCAGGTGCAGCTGCTAATACAGTAGCGGGTGTAGCTGCTAATACAGTAGCGGGTGTAGTTGCTAATACAGTAGCAGGTGCAGCTGCATATTTTTGTAATAAAAATGTTATGTTGTAATGGAATTCATGCATTAGTTTTTGTTTGCTTTGAACCCAGAGCAGACGTCACACGCCAGACGACATTAACACTGCATACTTTAGTATTTGTTCATTTATCGCGAGTAATATCGATATCGCAATATTAAGCACTGTTATCGAATATCGCAGGTTTTCCTAATATCGTGCAGCCGTAGTTAGAATTATTAAATGTATAATGCAATCAACTGTATTTTTTCAGATACATACACACACACACACACACACACACACATATATATATATATATATATATATATATATATATATATATATATATATATATATATATATTAGGGATGTGTATTTTTGAAATTCTGGCGATACGATACATATCACGATACAGGGGAGATGATATGATATATCACGATATATTGCGATACATTCAGTCAGACGTTACAAGCTATTTTTTTACTGAATTTATTGTAAGAATGTTCAATAAACAGTCCAAACT